GCGGACATACGTTTGCCAAAAGTGATGAACTGATATGAAGTAAATATTTATAATTGGGTTTGTTTTTATGTTACGCGCGCTTTAACTTCTTATTGATTAAACGTGGTAGAAGAATTTCAAAAAAAAGTAGACGTAGATTGTAGAGTTAGGAATATTTTTTGTTGTGCAACCATTTCATCTTATTTTCTCTGTAATGTACCAGTAGATATCTTGAACTAATGAATGTTGAAAAATTCCTTCTCGTGCTTCATGCACTTTAAGGTACTAATTATTTATCGATCACGGAAATTATTAGTAATCTAATCGTAAATGTATAGGTACACGGGTATGCATAAATATGTCAGTTTAGATATAAATACACTTACTGCAATGATTTATCTTTATTTACTTGAAAATAGGATACAGGCACGTAACACAAGTTTACATCGCCTAGAAGTGTAAAACCAGTAAGGAGAACGATAATAATAGTTAACCTAACTTAACCATTTATGATTAAAATAATGATTTAAATCAAATGATATTCCTTAAAACCATGATCTAATCAACAGGTAAAAAATGTAACTGATATTTTATTGTTTTACAAATAAGAATGATTATTCCAAAAGACACTGACAAAACGTTAATTTTAACTTTTAGTTTGCATAGAATTATACTGTCATAATTTAAAGCAAAAAAGTCTGATTTAAACAAAGAAAATAGATCGTGTCTTTTAAATTTTAAATACAAAAAATAAATGTGCACCTATTTATTCAACCTTGCCTATTGCTTTTCAGTTTACACTGCTTTTATGAGTTTGTGATGTAATATTTAAAAAATAGTACCCACATCTTGTCAGAGTATATAAATCCATCCTAATAATTCCAGAAATTGCAGTTAATTTAATTATTAACGTTTTACATGTATTGATTTTACTCTTTTACTTGAGATAAGTTATAAGTATACATACAATTAAAATACTTTCATATCTAGTGATAATAAAAACCCGAATCGATTTTCTTTTTATCAATTAAATGTCATTATCTTTTCTTCTCATATAGATATGTCAGAAGGAAAAATATTTCTCATGTCAAATTAAGATGTAGTTATTTTCTATTAAACTATTGCGGGTTATCAAGGGCGGTTCATAATTGACCCCTATTTCACAAGTAATCGGACAATAAAAAGTAAGCCCATGATAGATACATTTTGTAATTACACACACAGTTGGATATATTACGTAGTATTAATATGTGTAATTGGTCTAATTGCTATTCGGAACTTGTTCATGCCACAGTTCCGAATGGAATTCGAAAGTTAATTAATTGTGTAGCTAATTGAAAGCTATTAATTATTGAAGTACTGGAAAAGTATCGTTATTCGTAGTACAATAAATAATTAAGACATTTAAACAAAAACCTTTTTGGTGTAAATGACAAAGTATAAAAACATTTTGTTTATGACACGATTAGAATTTCAATGAAACTATTGAAATATCTTTGTTAATGATTGTACATACTTATTATTCACCATCATAAGGTCGTTAATCCTAAGACTGGTTGAACACGCACCTCCACTCTTTCCTATCCTGAGTTAATCTTCACATTTTCCTAAAACTAGAACAACCCATATCCTTAACTTTTTGCGAACAGTAATCTAATCTAGGTCTAACTCTTACCCTTCTAACTTCCGTTTCTGCCTCTAATATGTCTCTGACTAGATCTTCATGCCTGAGAACGTGTCCTACTAACCCATCTCGCCTATTTCTTATCGACTTCCTCTGATCTCTTACTCTTTCTATTACCTCTTCATTTCTTATCTTCTCTATCCATGGTATTCTCATCATTCGCCTGTAACATCACATTTCGAACGCTTATAACCTTTTCTTTTCCGCCGCTCCCACTGTCCATGTTTCGCACCCGTTAAGCGCCGTGCTCCAAACATACACCTTTAACAACCTTTTTTAAATTTCTTAATTAACCGTTCGCGAGCATAGTTGTGACTTCTTTTTATTGAAGGCGACGCGACCCTGCGCTATCCTCTGCTTTATATCTCTACTAGTCCTTCCTGACTTCCTGAATACCTAAAATCGGCCACTTCTTCTAATCTTTCGTCTCCTATCTTTATATTCGCTCTTTTCCTACTTTTCCTTCCCTTGCATACCAGTATTTTTGTTTTACTTATTATTATGAAGTTATTAACTTGAAGTGTTTTATGTGGTTGATACATATAAAAATGCTATTTTAGTAATTTCATAAATGCATTGTTTCTTGATTTTAACGTAAACATTTTCTGCCTGCCTAAAAGATAATGATTTACAACGGTAACTTTAAAACGATTGTGGTTAAGAAAATCATTATTTAATTGCTTCTATGTTTTTCCTTTTGTCAAATTTTCTGGTTCACAGGTTTTAGTTGAAAACCGTTGCTGGTCTCTTATATCACATTTATTAAATGGTTAACTAACACTAATGTTTTTATTAAATTATAAGAATCACTTTCCACAACCGTTTCCTATTGTTAGCTGCTTGTAATTGTATTGAAAAGTAACAAAAACAAAGAAAACTAAATAGTAATTAACTAATTCTTTATCTTGCGCTTTTGTTTATCTCCTTACAACCAAATTGTTGATAAACCAATGATTTGAAATCACGTAAAACAATAAAAAAAAGTACTTTTCGCAGTACATATCTTTTGATTGTTTATTGATCATTTACACTGTTTAAAAAAAATTATATTAACGATAAAATAAGTAAAAAGAAATTGTCACGTGTAATAATTAAGAATGCACTATTACTTATAGTTCTAATTAGGTGTGATTGTAATAGTTATCCGTGCAGGTATCTATGCCAAAATGACAAGTGTCATGCAACAACCAACCAACCAACTTAGGCAATTGTATAGGAGATTACCATGATTAAAATTTAGAACACCATCCGTACAAATTGAACGGGTTCAACTAGTTTACAAAAGAAAATTATAAGTACATTTTGCACTTACGACAATGGACCGTTATTACTTATAACAGGTTTTTAGTTTCTAATAAGAGAAAGTTTTTTGTTTTATAAAAATCGCTGAGAAATTTTGGTTTGTTCTACAAAAGTAGAAAACGCATCCAACCGAGTAAATAAGCTTAACTGATAAGGTACTCAAGAGCTTAGAAAACCTAATTAAACATTCGTTTTGTAAATATTTGACGAAATATAAGTATTTAAAGCAAATCCGGTGTTTAATATTGTACTTACGTTAGAACGTGGCAAAACTACAATATATTGTTGGTACATACTTAGAAACTAGCATTTATTAAAGAACTACATATATAATATTATTTCTCTTTAACATCAAGGCTGCTGATTTAGGACAGTAATAAAACGTTAAGTTTTAACTGTCAATTGGTTATATTGTTTTTATGAATTATCTGCAAAGTACTATCAATGTCACTTAATTCAATAAAAGTAGTATACTTATATGATATCTATGTACTTTCATATCTGTCAAATTTGAATGCCTTGAAGCAAATAAATAATTAAAGAAAAACAATAGACGACAAGGTAAAATTTTATTAATGTAAAATAGGTATGCGGATCCTTTTTGTTTTCACCTCAACAATTTTCAGTGCAGATACCTAATATATGCATGTTACAATCAAATGTCCCTTTCTGAACTTTCATATTAAGCAGTTACGTATGTTTTTTGATTTCGATAACTCTTGTAATTGGTTGCTATTGCAAATATCATAACCAAATATTCTGGAGCTTATCTGTGACATACCTATCTGGGCGAAAGAGTTCATGGAACTTTGATCATGGTATTAAGTGGAATGCATTATCATTCACCTTTATTTTTATGGGCAACTGAAATTTCAGTTGGTTTTTTTTTTAATTTTGTACTGCATACTTACAAAAATTTATAATCGAAGATTTTTTCTTTGTAAATTAGGTGCATATCAGGAATATTCGGTGTGATGTATTTAAATTAAAATGGGTCAGAATAATTATAATTATAGGTAAAGGTTTTTATGTTATTTTTTGCCGAGCTTTGGTTAGATTATATCAAAAAGGAAAAATGAAGCCTAGAACAAAAATAGAGGGTTGTAAAAATCTTCAGTTTATGCTATCATCTTCTAATCAAATTAAAATTAATGGTATAGTACATATAGAGTCATGCTTGGGTTTATGACATCTTCTGTCTATCGACGTACACGGGAAAAAGTAGTTATAATGAGTTAATCTTCACATTTTCCTAAAACTAGAACATCCCACATCCTTAACTTTTGTGAACAGACGTCTAATCTAAGTCTACCACTCTTCCTCTTAACTCCTGTTTCTGCTTCTACCCCTTCATGTCTAAGAAGGTGTCCTACCAACCTATCTGGCTGATTTCGTACTGACTTTCATAGCGCCCTGTTCTTCTACACTTTGTAATACCTCCTCATTTCTAACCTTCTCAATCTACGACATCCTTATCGTTCGTCTGTAACCACATTTCAAATGTTCCTATCCTTTTCCTTTTTGAAGTGAAATTTCTTTATCGGCGGTAGGAAGAATATTNAGTAGATGTTAATGATTGCTGCATATTTTTTAAATATGTAATGATACAAATCGGATCGAAATTTTTCGAAATTGGTAGGTTTTATAATAAAATTAAAATAGAAAAATAATAAAAAAATGCTAATTAGTTATATAGATATTTTTAAAGAACAGACTCTAATTTTATAAATCTCTCTATTAATTATTTTTAGGAAGCAAAAAATTATAAGGACTAAAAGTTTAATTTTGTTTAAAAGAAAACTTGAATATAATGTCAGACAGGAAAACTTTATCAATTTAATATGTGTATTCAAGTTAATTTTGATCATAATTGGTGTACGTATGAGATAAATTTCGAAAATATATTTGTAGGTAGTTATTTAGTAAACAGTACGTTAACAACATGCATAACAAGTCAATAAAAATGTTGGTAGACTTGTACCAATGTATGTTTATTTTAGTTTCTCATTGACATCCAAAATCATTAAATACAAACCTAACTACATATGTAGAGTACAAATTCCTTATTAAGTGGGACGTCGACGCACCGTGAGTGCTGCTGCCGAACATTCATTAATTAAAATCCATTCACACGATGATATCCCTTGTATGGGAAACCACTCACAACGAAAAATAACTCTTCAACGAAAACAACGAATCTCTTTCATCGGCGATGCACTCACTTTGTTTTCACGTCACACACGACCGCGTACGCTGCAGAATGCCTCAGCCCGGAGCTAGCAGGTTTAACCGATTGTGAGTACACGAAGTTGTGCTAACGCTGGGCTTCGCTTAAATTCCTGCTGTTCACTAGCGTAACTCGATGCTAAGCTACGTTATACTACTATCGCTCCATTCGCTGCAACAAGCGACCAAACGATGGAAAACTGCGACGAGGTCTCGCAAGCGACAGCAGGAATTTGTGACTGACTCCGCTGCAGAACGCAAGGCGCGGGCTCGATGTCGTCCCGGCTTCGCGTTATTTGGAGAGTGGATGCCCTAGGTAGAGAGCGAATCACTGCGCAGCGTAATAAGCGATTTTATCTACAGAGTGGCTCCACATCAACTATTTATGATACGACATAAAATTTAATTCCGACGCACGTAGGTACGTCTACATAACAACCAAGCTGCTTTTGACATTGTTTTATGTTTAGATTTTCCCTCATACTATACAAAGCTGGAAAAAGCTCTCACCAAAACAGCTTCCTTACTTAAAGTGCTTTAACCATTGAATCTTAATTACATTTTAAAACCCAAGAACTTCGAATTACTAATTACTTCGAAAGCAGTTGATTAAATCTCTAAGCACTTTGAAAGAGGTTGAAGCCCTTTGAATTACAAATTACAAAGCATATTTATGAAGTAAATCGTTTACCAAGTCCAGTTACTTGTTCTCGAAAGGGCACATTTTCAAGTACATAGCACTAACGTTCTGCCAAGCTCTGATAGGATACCCTGTAGGGTCTAGGGCAGCGGTCGGCAACCGACGGGCGTGGACCGCGAAACACTCGACCGCCAAAAAGTAAATTTAAAAAAAAAAAATAATATTTTTCTTTCCATTACAAAATAGTTTTGAACNTGGACAAAGCTCTCACCAAAACAGCTTCCTTACTTAAAGTGCTTTAACAATTGAATCTTAATTACATTTTAAAATCCAAGAACTTTGAATTACTAATTACTTCGAAAGCAGTTGATCAAATCTCTAAGCACTTTGAAAGAGGTTGAAGCCCTTTGAATTACAAATTACAAAGCATATTTATGAAGTAAATCGTTTACCAAGTCCAATTACTTGTTCTTGAGAGGACACAATTTGAAACACATAGCACTAACGTTCTGCCAAGGTTTGATAGGATACTCTATACGGTCTACGGCAGCGGTCGGCAACCGACGGGCGTGGACCGCGAAAACACCACAAATTCGACCGCCAAAAAGTAAATTTAAAAAAATAATATTTTTCTGTCGATAACAAAATACGTTTGAGTTTTGAACGCCACCCTTATCTTTTTTGGAGGAAGGAATATGTTTTTTCTGGGCTTCGATAAAACATTTTCAAAAACATCCGCACCCCACTTAAAATTACTTGCCTACCCTTGCTCTAGGGAACAACGAAACGTAAAAATCTTTATGGGAAAGATAATAATTATTTATAGCTTCTTGTTAGTGTCATCAAGTTAAGCATAATATTATTGATATTCGTGCCGATAATATGATGTCTTAATGTTGTTCTGCGCTGTAAAGTTAAGACAGAGTTTCTCCATGTACTTATTACAAAAACTAACGCCAATTACAAACTGGCTTAAATTAAAATGCACTTCTTAATTATCATTAACGTTGTTTGCAACATGCACAAGGTTAGGCTGACCACCAAATATGTGAAAATCTAACTTCCAAAAACCACAAATTGTAATTAAATAGCCTTAATGGATATATAATATTACATAAATTTATTAAATGGCCGAAACACGGAAGTAGAATTGTTCCCGATTCTGTTTGAATTCGGAAAATTGGACGTACACACATTAGGGTGACCAAGAAAAACTTATTCTTATTATGTTACTTTAAAATGCGTTTATTTAACATGTTTAGATGAAGCAAGAGTTAAAAAGAGTAGAGGTAAATGTTTACCGTTTACAAATATAGTAGTTAAGGATGTGGGATGTTATAGTTTTAAGGAAACGCGAAGATTGGCTCAAGATAGGAAAGAGTGGAGGTGCGTGTCCAACCAGTCTTAGGACTGACAACTTTATGATGATGAGTCATTGAAAGATTATGAGAAGTCACTCAAGATTTTTGAAAATTTTCAAAATGGTAACAAATTAAATTTTTTCTTTTTTGAATTTTTATCGTCATGCTATTATTGCCTACGCTGGAAGTTGTAAACATTCTGAATATTTGAATTTGGTCTATTAGTTTATAGAAAATCTTTTATGTTTTGGAGTAGTGTAGGGACTATAGAATTTTCCGAGTAACCTGTAAAGATTATGTACATTCAAAAATTCCGTAACTCGCTCCTAAATGCAACCAGTTATATTCTAGTTAGAAGGAATTCCAGATAAGGGCCCCGCGCTACAGTCAGTACATATATTTATTACTAAGCGAACATGGGATTCATATTTCGTTTAGAGCTTATAGATACAAAATGTGGAAAATGATTGTTTTCATTTCATGTACGGACGTTCAGTAATATGAGCGAAAACGTAGGATTTGAAGTCGTTCTCAAGAATTCCTCCTTTGACTAGACGTTACTTGAGAACCAGGATAATACGTAGTTTCAATAAGCTTAACTTCCCTTCGGTTTAATATCGGAGTTTCAGCGTTTTATTGACGCGAAACCGCCTGTTGAACGAAATTGCACACGTACGAGGTATGTTCAAAAAGTATCGCTAACTTTGTGTTATTTCAAACATTACTTATTTATTTATGAATATCTATTTTGTCCCCTTCTAAGTAATACCCACCAGATACTATGCACTTGTGCCAACGTTCTTTCAAATCCTCGAAACACTTCAAAAAATCATTTTTTGTGATTATGTTCAGCTGCTCCTTTGACGCCGTCTTTATCTCGTCAATCGTAGCGCAACGTCGTCCTTTTAAGGGCCTTTTCAGTTTTGGGAATAAGAAAAAGTCACAGGGGACCAGATCTGGGGAATACGGTGACTGCGGCATTATTAGTATGTTGTTTTTGGCCAAATATTCGCTCATAAACAACGATGTGTGAGCAGGGGCGTTATCAAGGTGCAAAATAATAATTTTTGTTCTTCCACAAATCCGGGCGTTTCTGGCAGAATACTTCTCGCAAATTGCGCATAACTTTCAGATAATAATCCTTATTGACCGTTCTACCCTGTAGAAAGAACTCATAATGCACTACAGCCCTGCAGTCGAAGAAAACTGTAATCTAAACCTTCACATTCTACCTAATTTTGGGGCATTTTTTTCGTTTGCTCGTGCGGCAGTTTCCATTGGAATGATTGAGCTTTGGTTTCCACGTCATAACCATAAACCCATGATTCGTTATCAATTATGACCCTCTGGAACAAATTTGGATCGTCACTGACAGAATCTAACAGCTCCTTAGAAATGTTAATGCGATGCTGTTTTTGGTCGAAATTGAGCAATTTTGATACGAATTTTGCCGCGACCCGTTTTATGTCCATATCATTAGTAAAAATCGAATGGCAGGAACCAATCGATATGTTTAGGTTTTCAGTAACTTCCCTACTTCAACGATTAGCCAATATTATTTTCTTCACTTCATCAATGTTTTCGTCTGTTGTTAACGTGCTCGGGCGTCCGCCACACTCTGCGAGAACATTTTTTATCACCGATAAACGTTGCTTCAGTCCATAGTAGCTTCACCACATGCCGCAGTCAACATTCGGAATGCGTCCGTGCACTTAATTTCGTTTTTCACACAAAATTTGATACAGATTCTTTGATCCATTTTTTGGAATAGGCAAAAATCGAGGACGAGCCAAAACACGTGCAAGCAAAGCAGCTGTGAAAAATTAACTGAACATTCAACATGGGCGAACTTGTCGATGTAAGTGAGAGACCTGAGTGCCAACATGACGCCACAAAAAAATCGAATATACATAACCCGCGGAAATTCAAAATTCGCGATACTTTTTGAATAGACCTCGTGTATCAGTTGTACATGAGAAACCCGTGCTAATTGCCCCAGCAAGGTCGGAAGCATGGATATCTAGTTGTGAGAAGTATGAGGAAAACTTGAGTCCATTTAAACAGGTAATTGAATGAATGCAGTAATTGAAACGCCTTGGCCCGCTTAACAACGATAAGTAACGTATTACTTAAGATTAATTTGTGAAAAATCTGTTTCAATAATGAACATGCCCAAAAGTAGTAATTACCTGATTAGTAGAAATAATTTTCCTCACTAACTCACGATTAGTAAATATCTACAATGCACATATTTTCTGGCCAAAAATTTGGTTATATCTTATTTTAATCATTGTTTTAGTGATTATTATAAGTCGCTATTATACTTTATGGTTTTGTATTGTATTGACCTTGATATTTCAAATATTGTAGATGGAATTTGGACATGTGCTCAATGACCACGAAGAGCGATTCTTTTATAACTGCTATAAAATATAAATCAACAAATTATTAAGTAATCTGCTGTATTTTATTTACATATTTATTGATTACTTACTAAGTTTAAATGAAAAGGAATTTCTCTTATTTAGTTTCAACGCTTTAAAATCTTATAATGATATTTAATAATGATAAAGTGTAAAACAAAATCGAGAAACAAAAAATATTGCATATATATTTTAAAAAGTAAAATAGATTATAATTTTTGTTTGTAATGCTTTACAATGGATAGTTGTTTATGATCCATTTCATGCATGCTTTAGAAGTTTTCGGTAGTATCCTTTTTTGTGCTTTTTTTATATTTCCTTTTTATTATTATTTTTATTTTATAACTAATAAAAAAAAGTAATTTTTGCACAAATGCAAGTTTTTGTGAAAATTTAAGTGTCTTTTGATTTTTCAAACTCTTAAAATCCGATAAGTTTTCTTAATTCCCTTTCCGATGTTTTAACTCTAAGTGGCGATCATACAAATGGTCGCTACGTATGTATAGCACGGCTCAGAATTACTCGGATGAAGCTTTTAAAATAACGAATTTATCTTTAGTCAGCGATTTCAGCTTTCAACAGCATTATTACGTCGTTGTTTTTCCACTTATTGATGTCGATGGTTCCATTTTCAATTAATTCATTCTAACAAAATAATCGTAAAAACTGTGTATCAGCTTCTAAGATTCTGGAACAGTTTCTATTATTTGAAGAAAACATTCTCTTTCACCCATTAGGGGGCATAGACGAAAGTCACCTAATATTAGGATAGCCCCTAATTCCACAGAAAACATGCACGAGACATCATTTATTAACGGGACAGTCAATTAAACGTTAAAACCGGCGTTGTAAGTTTGTACGTCTCATGGGTTACT